GTTGCATTATTCAATTATTAAATTCTAAATCTGTTGCATTATTCAATTATTAAATTCTAAATCTATTGCATTATTCAATTATTAAATTCTAAATCTGTTGCATTATTCAATTATTAAATTCTAAATCTATTGCATTATTCAATTATTAAATTCTAAATCTGATAAAAGTGCTTAAACAAATTTACCTTTAAGTGATAATTTCATATTTTATCAATAAATCAACAACATTCTTCCTCACATATAAACACTTTTTATTCAATCTAAATATTTATTAATCGATCAACTGTTTTGTCTTTTTCTCTCTTAAATAAAAGGATAAAAAACGAAATCGTATCGTAATCAAAAATGCATGTACGATACTTACAGTATCAGCAGCAGGGTACGCTACAACGATTACCAATGCATTATCATACGAGAATGTTTGGTTCAATTCCATGTAATATAAGGTTTGTTAAATGTTTAATTTAATTTTTCAATAAATTTGAATAATTTAAAATCATTTCAGTATTTATTCGTTTACATATTAGTTTAGCTGAATTTATCAAAATAAATTACATTTTCATCTTTAATTTTCACCAGATGGTTAACAAATGTCAAATCAGGCAAGACATTTAGTTAATAATTCTAAAAATTATATGCTAAATTCTTTGAATTTCATTAGTTTAAAAATATTTCCATCATATTTTTATCTTCTTCTTTTTTGCCTTCATAATTCATTTACAAAACTTTTTTTTTTTTACCAATCAACAAATCAATGTTATTGTTTGTATTAAAAAGGTTATATTATTTTATAGTATAAAAGTATTGTTTAAAAGATGCTATCAGTCAGTTTGTTTTAAATTTAAATTGAAAAATTTAAAATATTAACTAAATATACGAAATTATTAATTGGAATAAGTGATAAGTAAATCAAAAATTTACACTATTTATTATTGAAATGAAATTATTTTAACATTTCCTTCGATAAATTATTCAAAACAAAAAAAAAAGTGATATTGGATAAATTAATTTTTTCCCTTTTTCAATAAATATATTAAGTTTATTTAATGTGAAAATTTAAAAATAATTATTATTTAATTTGGGTACAATTTCAATTAATTATATCACTTATAATTACAAATTTCTATGAAATCGATTAATTGAGTGTATTTTTAAATTTCTGTATTTAATTAAATTTAATTACAAAAATAATGTGAAATATGTATTTGAATAATTATCACAGTTGTTATTTTAAATAATTTTGCGTCATTTCAAAACAAAAAAATTGATGATGAAATTTTTGTTCGATTATTTTAACAATAATAAGAAATTAAATATAATACATGAAATTAACAAAAATGAAATTTGTATGCTTTATTAAAATTAACATATAATGGCATTTTTGTTTTCTCATTCTTTTGCATATCTTTGATTAAATTTATTTTTGAATTTCAATGAATGCAAATGTCAATTTTTAGATATTAAGCAATGGAAAGAAACTTTAATTTAATAAACTTTCATACACAACAAATGCTCTTTTTCATTTTTACGAATAATTTTATTTCTTATTGTTTTCATTTTAATAATTAAATTTCCTGAAATCTTTGAAATCTTCTTTTTCAATATTTCTAACTTTCAAAAAAAAAATAATAATAAATAAAAAAAAAGAAAGAAATATATGAAATGAGGGTGGAAAGTAAGTGAGAGGAAGAAAAAAAAAAAATCAATTTTCATATAAGTTCCATTTTTCACTATTACTTTTTTTATTCAATCAAAAAAGATTCATTTTAAATCCTTTCAACTCTAAACTGAAATTATTTCAATATTTCAATAATTTCTTACTTGAAGAAAATGGCTATTTTAAATTTAAAACTAATTTATTTATTTTACGAAAATAAATTGTTCCGTTTTTTTTTTTTTTAATTAATTATAGTCGGAAAAGTAAATTTTTATAAATTATTTGACATATTTGTCTTTTCGATCGAATCATTTTTTTTTTTTGCCTTTTCCTTTTAAAAAATAAAAAGTAAAGTGATGAATGCTTGCAAGAAAAAAAAAAGAAAAAATTGAAGCTATCATATTACAGGTCATCTGATCCGTTATCATCACAGTCTAGATCAATGGATCCGTTATCATCAAATTGCAAATCAACAGATCCATTATCATTAACAAATGATGATGAAAATGAATTGGAATCAGTTCCATTACCAATACAAACATTTTTATGGCGACAAACAAAGTACCACAATTCCTTTTTTCTTTTTTTTTTTTTT